GATAGATAGATAGATAGATAGATAGATAGATAGATAGATAGATAGATTACTTTATTTAGCTGTCTGGTTGTAGTATACAATATTTACAAGTAAAAAAATAACACCCCAGGACACCACAGCGAAAAAAATGGTGCTCACCACAACAGACTGATAGAACATCTGCAGCATTTTGTTGCAGACATTGAAGGACCTGAGTTTCCTCAGGAAGTAAATGACTGAATGTAAAACTTTGAAAATGAAAGAAAAATTAAGTAATATTCTCTTGATATACAGCTGGATGACAAGTTGGTGTGAGCTCCAATGCATGAGCTTGCAGAAAAAATGATCAAAAAAGAACTTAGAAAACCTATATCCCAAGTAGAACTTTTTAGAGTGAAATTACAGCTACAGAGGCTCCCAAACAATAAACTAACAGGAAAACAAATACAAACTTCTGACATCTTCTGAGATTTTCTAAGCAAACATTCTGGAGGATAACTTAGTCAACAGTCATTATTATTATTAATATTATTTTTCTTTTCAGGTTTTATCTGAAATCTCCAAGTAATATAAGCAAAATGATAATATATTAGATCTATAGGATCCTAAAATGGCCTTTATCTCAAGTCCTGACTTACATAAATCAAGGGAAACAGAATTGTATCCCTTGTATATCCCTTTAATTCATCTCAGTGTTTTTTTCTGAACATTGATTGCTCTATTGTTTATTTTTTTAGATGGGAAGCTGGAAGTGTTACAGCAAAGCAAACTCCTCACCTTGATTGCTGTCTGGACTACGTTCGGGGAATTGGCCATTCTCTACAACTGCACACGGACCGCATCAGTGCGAGGTAAAAATGTCCACATTTCTACAGTAGACACTGAGAGATCAGATTGATTATTTAAACTAAGGCCACCACCATGTAACGTTATAAGCCCTGCAGGGATTGAATTTGTGACAATTCCACAGACACAGCAAGACATGTCGAATTCAGCGGCCTATTTCTCCCTTTTGTCACTACTCTCACCCCAGTGAGAGTAGTGACACTGTATGTCCATGTGAACTGCAGTGCATGAGTCCCACAGTTGGAGAAGCCAAACTCTGTAGAATGTGACACACAATCCCCAGCCAAAGTGAAAAAAATGTCTCCTCTACATCACCTGTATGTGGTGATGTAATTGGAAGTTGGTTCAAGCTATGGTTACAGATTGACCATTTAACTGGACAAGGATGCTTGTGCAGGGTCCAGTGTCATAGTACGGAGCAAAATTAAGTGTTACCTGAAAAGTGTATGTCGCTGTGATGCTGTAGACTGTGTCAGGAAATGTTCAATATTCTGCTATGATCTCTTTTGGAGAACATAGTAAATGTAAATATGGATTACCATACAGCACAGAAGTTGAAATCTGCAGAAAAGTTGTTTGATCATAGCACTTGTTCTCTTGCTCTAAATGAATAATGTTTTTGCCAATTTTAACTGATTGAAACCCAGAAAGTTCATGATTGGTGTGCTTATCATAACAGACATTACCAAATGAACATCAAACATGCACCCTGTCGATGCAATATCAGTTGTTATCTTTTTAAAATATTATACTCATTAGATTTTCTAGATCTTGCTGCTGACTTTTGGCCAAGATTTATTGTGGGATGTTATTATGTGTCCCCATAGCTTAAAGTTTAGGCTACTTTGTTCTATTCCAAAAATAATTTTGATTAGTAACTATGGCTGTTTTTGCATGCTTGTCTGAAGCTATAAAACATTAGGTCTCCTACTTTGAACCCTACATCTAAGTCTTTGTGACTTTTTAGAGAGCTGATGGGTGAGAGCAAGAGAATCCGCATGATCATGTAAACAAGCTCCTGAATGCTTATGTTGACTAAGGCTTTGCTCCTTTTTGCATCCTGATTGATTTTTATATTCTTGACCTTTAGAAAAACACACTCTTATGTGTAAGTACTTTTTGTCTTGGTATGCATATTTAACTTTGTATATCTGGACAGGAGGTTCCTAGGAAGGAGGCCTAAATTAACTTAAAAATTCAGGGGGAACTGGAAAGATGTTGACTGTTTGACAAGTCACAATAACACATAAAAGGGGTGCTCCATTTTTGCTACCAGTACATGTCAAGCTTTTTACATCAACTTCATCCTGCTTGAACCAACAGAAACCTTTCTCAGAATTTCTGTAAAGCTGATATGACTCACCATCAACACAAGGGATTATGGTTCTCTCACCTCTTGAATTTAATCAACAAAATATAACAATCCCCTTAGTGGTGAAGAAAGAAAGCTATTATCAAACCAAAAAATATATATTTTGTTATTTAAAACCATGACATTTACAGATTATTTGTTGAAAGCAGCACTCTATGTCCAAATAATGGCAGCAGATTACTTACTTTTCTTATCTGAAAGTCTCTATCTGGATGAATGGATATAATGTTGCTTTTACAGCGGTAAACAAAGTGAAGACATGGGCTTTGGACCGGGAAGTGTTCCAGAACATCATGAGGAGAACGGCTGAGACACGACATGAACAATACCGCAACTTCCTCCGGAGGTCAGCCTAATGGAAAAGATAGAAGTGTATTAGTTTCTGACAACTATCCTACCACTTACTTTGAAAAGGTCATTTTAAAAATTTGGTGTAATTTTAAAGTAACTTGATCCTTTACTTTATAAACAAAAGTCTTAATAATTATCAGCATATTCACTATCAAGTAAACTGTTGTTAGAAAATATAAACAAATCCAAAGTTTGTGCTGATTTGTAACAGGTTGCAGCTGGCTCATAACATAAAGTAGGAAGTCTGTGGAAACGTTAAGGCAATGTTTACTTCAGCAGAACAATGTCAGGCCTTATACGATTGAAACTGAAAATATATCAGTGGCTGGCTGTACATTTCACACCTAGGCCTTCAGTGATGCCCAGTCTGAATCAATTGTACCCATCACCATTTTATGTCTATAAAAGACATCTGATTTTGCAGAAAAGTTTTATATTATTTTGAAAATAGTAATTTGCCAAAAATCCTATTTGTACACAAACTCTGTGATACAGATTATTTTTGTGTTTCAGATCCCTCAAAAAGTTCCTTTCTACTGCCATCAAAGCTAATGATGAGAGTGAAACTTGCCCTGTCATATTTCTGGCATAAATTTTAATTCACTTTAGGGCTGAAAATGTCCGCTTGATAGAGGCAGTGGATACAGGGTTGCTCATCGCCAAACACAGTAATACAATTTGCAGTGTTTCTCGGAGCCTAAGCCAGGGATAAAGCTCATAGTTGGTTGGCTGGAAGTGGCGAACAAATGCTTTCCCCCCCATGCGACAACCTGACCAACTTCAGAGTTGCCTGACATTTCTCAACAATGTCTAGTTTTTTTCTTGAAAATTCCGTCTTAAAAATTGCTTCGACAATAAATCTGCAAACAAATCAATTACTTCTCCCTCTTCGGCCAATATGGGTTGACAAAACAGCTTTTAAACCAACAAAACTATCTTTTGCTCTTGTAGCTCTCTACAGATGCAGTTTGCTAGCTGTAGCTAGTACGCTTTCTGACTCTCAAATCAAAACTTGAGACTTCACCTTACGCCTGCTAGAAGGCCTTGGTGCTGCAAAATCTCACTGGTCGAAGCAACGGTTTTATTGATACATATTTTATGCTACAGGGCCCACAGAAGGGATTGTGAAAGCCACCAGGCAGATTTCTTTGAACTTGGCAACAAATAATAGCTGCAATGTGATTGGTTAAATACGTCTATATAAAAATACACTTCTGGAAGCAGCACAGCCACACGTTAAATGCTATGAAAGTAAGCAGACAGACCATTTTGAATGACTTAATATGTATTCATTAATAAAATATAATTAATATCAGTTGGTGATTCAGACATTTTTTTTAGCCTAAAACAATATCCGTCTTATAACATTTTTAGGCCAGCAGAGAAGGCCTTGCAGGCCCTGACTTCCCAGCTGTGAAAAATATAGAGGAATACAGTGTAATCAGACTACATCAACCACAGAAATCTTGATTTTTTTACAACAGAGAGAGATTCTACTGAAAAACAACACTAGCCAGAATCCTCAGTCCCCACATGATTGTAAAGTGTAATTAAGTGGAAATTGATAATTGACACTAGCTAACATGATTTTCCCAACCTTTTTTTGTGTCAGTCAAGATGCTGAAGATAATTTCTTTGGACCTGTGTTAAGATTCAAACATATTATTAATCATTTATATGTAAAAAGTAACATCTGTTTTTGTTTTACACCTGTCAGTGTCTCACTCTTGACGAATCTGCCGGAAGACAAGCTAGGCAAAATAGTGGACTGCCTTGAGGTGGTAAGTTATTCTGTCAAACTATCTGTATTTGCACAGGAGGGACAGTTTGACTTCCACATTATATTGCTTCAGTATTTCACAAACCTTGGCTGCTCATGGGAGCTTCGCCATTGCAGATAGCTGCTGTCAAAATATCATTACCATCTGCCCATATACCATTACAGCATGTCAGCATGTTCGGTCTAGCTCCAGTTGGCAAGAACTCACAAATTACCTTGTTGACGAACAGAGCCAATGTTATTCCTGTCATCGCTGGGCGCTGTATATTGTTACCATAATTATTTGACTAAGGCCCCAGAAAGTGTTTATTCAAATGGGGGACGAGTGATTTCTTAAAGATGTGCGAGTGACAGGGTTCTAGTTTGGGACAACACACTAAAAGGTAATTTTGTACGTTGAAATAAGTAGGAGATCTAGCATTGTATTTCTACGAAGGGGAAAATGGGGCAGAGCTTGTCTGAAACGGCCTTTCTCAGCATCTTTTCACAATGAAAACTTCAAGGACGTTTGTTACAGTGGTTGTTTGTCCTGCTACTCACAGCTGTGGGAAAAACTCCTTATTCAGGGATTTCTTAAAGAAAATATTCTCTTTCATTTCAGGGGGCTAGCTGTAACCAAATAGAAGGGCAGTTTTTTTAAATAAAAAATATGCAATAAAACACTGAAGCTTCTTGTCAGACAGTTTGGGAATGGAATTTTGTTTGTTAATGGGGACAGAGAACCTCAGATGATGAACAATTATGAAGTTTAACCACAAAACATGCAACAGTTAAATGTAAAAATAAACAATATTCTATTACATATAAGAACCTAACAGACATGATCTTTAAGGGCTGCAGTTTCCTGAGGTCTGAAGCTGAGCTTTTGATAGCAGCATGAATATCATGTAAGAAACTAAACCAATGAATGAACAAAGAGAAAATTCAAAGACAAACACAGACAATACTACCTGCCAATACCTAATCTGATACTGAATTCAGTTGTAAGTGTATCCTTAAAATCTTAATGAAATTCTTAATATTGCAAGGCAAGTATAATTTGTGAGTGACAACCATCTATAAACATTGATGGTTGGCCAGTCTGAACAAATGCAAGTTTTATAAATACAAGTTCTTTATTTACGTTTTCAGATTTCCAATCTTTGAAGTATAGCTCTGATTAGATTCAGGTAAAAGATACTTTATTTATGAACACTGTTCAGTTTGTCCATCGCTGTTATACTGGATCAGACCAATAAGGGGAACTTTTGAACTTTCTCTGTTGTGACGGTTGCTCACATTTTGTTGGGTATGATAGTTGTCTCTGGCTTACTGTCCAACCTGCCAAAGGTAAATCCCCACAATGTGCTGTTGGCTCTTCACAAAATATTTTGCAGTGTGGTAACCAAATATGAAACATAAACATATGTTGCTCTAACAGCCATGAGAGAAAACTGATTACTTGACTCTTTATTCCACCAAAGCTGTCCGTCAATCTGCTGTTATTTATGGATTGATACAGAGTGTGTCACCACACCCTCCTGTGTAACCTGTCATTACTCTAATAAAAAAAGAGTTAAGTATATAAAGTAAGGCCGAATAGCACAGAGCTACCATATTTGGCTTATTTATAATACATAAAGCGTTAGTCGCAGAAGTTAAGGTTGACTTATCGGACCTGAGACTTTCCTCTTATTACCTAAACTGCTACTCAACTGCAGTGTTTGTAGACGTCTTCTTGATTCATAGTTCGTGCTCTGAATCTGTTATACTTGGTTTGCTGGAAAACATTAACAGACATTCCAAAGTTTTACATGTGCTTAGGATAAGGGCAAGGCTTAGCAGACCATGTCTAAAGATTATATAACGCTATGGGGTGACACCCACTCTCTGTTCTCTTGTATCTTACCAAAACTACTCTGGGTAACCAATCCACTTGTGCTGCAGTAGACTGGAGAAGTCTTAACATTTGCCCAGAGCAATATGCAGTTAGAATGTACAATACTGAAACTAAACAACTGGAGACAAATCAACACATAGAGACAACAGTGTGTAAATCACTGACATGCACAACCAAAAGAGTGTTTGATAAGTAGAAGATTTACACAATTGTTTAGAATATGAAGCATATTAGCGATGTATGGTTTGAAAAATCCCTATTCTTTGACTTACTGCAGGATTAAACTCTGGTAACCTGGTATAAAAAACTGGACATTGACGAAAAACACTTTGTTCAGTGGAATTTGAGGTGGGGTTGTGTAACTATAGCACTGTACACTTTAACCACTTTAACAATTTAGTAACGGCACAGGTACTTTGGTAATGCATTCACTTGACTGCATTTGCACAAATGGTTAGATCGTTGCTTTTTCACACTTTGTATAGATATTGTCATAATTTATTAACTGGTTTCTTCATTAGCTGTCTCATTTAAATTTTAACTGTCTTGGTAGGGATTGTTATGGCCACCTGCAACCATAATTTTATTGTGCCAAAGGCACACAAATGGTAGTTAGTATGGAGTGTTGGGAGAAGCTATATTTTATTCTTATTATTTATTTGCATTGTGAATTTGTTAATATTCATTGGTATAAAGCAGTAAGTTTATGTGGACTGCAAAATAAAAATGGATGTCAGGGATTATGAGCATGTCAGAACAGTAAATGCATTATTCCTCATTCAGCTGGCTAGTCAATATATGTAAAGTGTCATCCTGTTGTCCTTGTGGTGGTTGGTAGCTGATGCAACCACATTTTCTCAGGTGTTGGAGATGTGACACTCAACAATCCTCCTGTTTCCTTTTCGCAGTACTGTCCATGGTTATGATTATTCTTACAGTGACGCACATTTAAAACGCTGTACCTTCCCCAAAATGTTAGTGTATCATTCACAGTCCTTGGCATGTCGTCTACACTGTTACAGATTGGTATTAATCTCAGCTCTCCTGAAGCATAGACAGGACATAAACAATTTTGGACACTAAACAAACACACCACTTGTTTCAAAAGCTATGGCAGACTTTTCAACAAAGTTCTCTACAGTTGAATGGTTTTCAATCGACAGCAATCGACAGTTGCCTCAGCTGCTTGAACTTGGCTTCTGTCCTGGATAGCATCTCATCCCAGTCACCTTTGTGCTTTAGCAATGACACTTGCAGCTGCCTGCTGTCAGTGTGCTTGATGTATTGTGATAGTTAAAGATTAGAAAAACTAGGACAGAGCTGGAGGAAATCTCTCTCTAAAACATTGCTCAGTTGATTGAGAGAACATTCAACATTGTATTTTGATTTTTACTCCATAAACATTTGAAGCTGTTGTTATTTTACACACCAGCTGAAGCATGTGAGTACAAATGGCTGATCCTCTGAGCAGCTCAAATGAATAGCAGTTTTAACCATGGTCACGCAAGATGTTCCATTCATTCCATGTGTGATTTATGGGTGTTGTATGCTTATGAAGAAATATTAATATGTGTTTGGTTGGCATTAATCTCTTGCAGAGAGCATTCAGACAACTCTGCTAATGCTAATGTGAAAGTGGATTGAAATGCATGAGCACTGTCTTTAAAATTTTCTGCTGCCTTAACATAGTTAAGATGACACTGTTCTGACCATGAACCCTAAGTCTGTCTCTGCTGATAGAGCATCATAATTTGAGCTGATAGCCACATTTTTATGGTCGCCACAACCACATCCTCTTCACTGCTTGTTGCCCTAACAGCATCTGACCAAGGACTTCCTGAATAAATAGTGTAAACACACTTCTGGAGGGTCATAAGGCATGACTAGTTACAGTAATAACCCAAACCCTAACTCTTTTGTTATTTGAATTTCTTAAAGGGTGCCATGCGTTAACTTAATAAAAGTCGTATTCAGTGTATACGTAGCTAGCATTCCATCTAGCTATGTATTTGACTATCTATCAGATTATTGAAATTGGGTAATTCTTTCGTTCATATTGATAGAGTTTTTAAAAGTTGGGGATTATGATCTTATTTTCAAAGCCAATATTTTAATGTTTAATGATAATTATAATAATAATGACCACTGATAAATTCTAAATATTTATTCGAGTGGCACATATGCAGACTATAAATTAATTTATTAACTATGATTAATTTTTAATCATCCCACAGCCCCAGTAATTTCCCAACAGTCAGAAGGCTAAGGACCTATGACTGAGAGAAATATTGCTGATGGCTGAACTTTAGTTCTCATCCAGCAGGGGACTGGCAACTAGGAATTAGGCCAATTGGGTCAATGGATAAAATCAATGTAATGCTTCAGCTCTGATTGTTGTTCTATCTAATTATCTGCTCTTTTCCTTCCATTTAGGAATACTATGACAAAGGAGAGTATGTCATCCGGGAGGGAGAGGAAGGCAGCACCTTTTATATTATCTCACAAGGGAAGGTAACATTTTTTAATAATTTTGAACAGGTATGCAAAAACACAATTAAGCCCCTCAAGGTTCAATGTTTACTTTAATTCTAATTTCATCCTTTACCTCTGCGTTACACTGGTCATTAATTTGTGCCTCTGTGGTATTTTTGCTTTTTAATTAGCAGTTTACGCATAAATGAGGGATGCTTTTTCTGAAAAGTAGATTAGGAAGCAGCTTAAGCACAGCAGAGAGGGAGGGAGACTTCTGAACGTTCTCTAAGTTTGACTTTAACCAGCTATTGGCAAATGGGGCATACATCTCACATGTTACGCTCTGAAATTAAATATTTTAAAATAGATTTAATCAGGGAGAAAACTTTACTGGAGCGGTTCGCAGCCGAGTGCGAAGCGGCTGGGATGAGGATCAGTGCCTCCAAGTCCGAGACCATGGTCTCTCACCGGAAAAGGGTAGAGTGCCTTCTCCGGGTCGGAGCGGACGTCCTTCCCCAAGTGGAGGAGTTCAAGTACCTCGGGGTCTTGTTCGCGAACGGGGTTAGGGAGCGTGAGATCGATAGGCGTATCGGTGCGGCGTCTGCAGTAATGTGGGCGCTGTACCGGTCTGTCGTGATGAAGAGAGAGCTGAGCCTAAAGGCGAAGCTCTCAATTTATCGGTCGATCTACGTTCCCACCCTCGTCTATGGTCACGAGCTTTGGGTAGTGACCGAAAGAACGAGATCGCGGATACAAGCGGCCGAAATGAGTTTCCTCCGCAGGGTGGCTGGGCTCTCCCTTAGAGATAGGGTGAGAAGCTCGGCCATCCGGGAGGGGCTCGGAGTAGAGCCGCTGCTCCTCCACGTGGAGAGGAGCCAGTTGAGGTGGCTCGGGCATCTGATCAGGATGCCTCCTGGTCGCCTCCCTGGGGAGGTGTTCCGGGCTCGTCCCACCGGGAGAAGGCCCAGAGGAAGACCCAGGAGGACCCGCTGGAGGGACTATGTGTCCCGGCTGGCCTGGGAACGCCTCGGGATCCCCCCGGAGGAGCTGGCTGAAGTGGCCGGGGAGAGGGAAGTCTGGATTTCCCTGCTCCGGCTGCTGCCCCCGCGACCCGACCCCGGATAAGCGGAGGACAATGGATGGAGGGATGGAAAACTTTACTCCAGTCATAACTTTAGCTTTTTCTCGTTTCAGCAATTAATTGAAACAAACTGTTCTTTAGCAGCTCCTGATATATTTTCGGGCTGCTACAAAAATGTAAAAAATAAGTAGAGATGAGACATGTTCCTGCTGTATAAAAAACAACATGAAAAGAGGTCCGGATTTTCAGTATACAGCTTTCATTAATTTTATCTCAACTTTTTCCACTTCAGTTCTAAAGATGGACATATATGCTGCTTTTAAAAAACTATAATAGTATTGTACTAATGGCAATGCAAAGCAGTAAAATCTCAGATTTTCTGGCTGAAGTACCTTGGCTGGTTTTGATTAGTCTTTTTATGAAGTTACATTAGGCTTAATGGGCAATACTGTATATATGACCCAATATTTGGTTGAAGGCTATGACGGGCTGACTAAATTAATTCACAAAATATGGATACAGAAAATCAACGGGAAAAAAAAGTATTTTTCTAATCTATCACACCCTGTTTTGGCCAAAAATATGCTGTCCAAACAGTTTGAAGTATAGAGTAGGGGAGTTTCATGTCTGTGACTCACCCACTTCTCTGTCCAATAAGTCAGCAACCTGACTCTGGTTAGCCAAGAGAGATGCACAGGGGCCAGAGCTGTCCACAGGGGACTCACACTGCCATTATGAGCTAATATGATACAGCAGTTCCAAAACTCTACGTTAACCAAGACACATGTTGTTTGGAAAGAAGGGGGTTAATACAGGAAATGGGTCCCCCATCCCCCATTGTACCTCCAGAGCAGGGAGGAGAATAAACTTTGAGAATGCCTGCCACCAGGAAAAACAGGGGAAGTGAGCGTCAGTGAGATCAAACAGTACACTTAGCTAAAACACACGTGGGCCATAATGGCAGTAATGTCATTGTGGCTTTCTTAAATGGGATGGTGCCACAAGTAGGATGTTTGACCTCAACTGGGGTGGGCCACTGTCTTTTAAATCCTCACAAATTAAAGATAATTTTCACAACATATAAGCAGCTGGGATGCCTTTGTGGAAGATGTATGCTCTGTTAGGCAAAGAGATGAACAGATGCAGATTAACTCCTGAGAAAAACCCTTTCACAGTTAAAGTATGTGTTATAATGCAAGGTACATGAATATCTCTTCATCACATCACGATTTGAATTTCTGTAGCTGAATATGTCAATTTCTTTACTCATTTTAAGTTTCTATAAGATGTGTGAAAACATTCAGAGAAAATGAATAGCACATGTAAAAAAGCTAAAAGTGTCCTGAAAGTCAAGAAAACTGTGTTGTGCAGGTGAAGGTGACGCAAACCACAGATACCAATAAGTTGCCACAGATCATCAACATACTGCAAAAGGGAGATTATTTTGGAGAAAAAGCCCTTATAAGGTAAAGAAACCACAAAATGTATTCAAAAACACATTGTTTTAATGCTTTTTTGTCTTTTGGAGGTGATCCTTTGTAATCTTATTTTATGGTAAATAAGAAAAAAGGACTCCTTGTATATGTGTGAATGCTCACATGTGTACTGTACTTGTGTTCTCCAGTGATGATGTAAGGTCAGCCAATATCATTGCGGAAGAGAATGGGGTGGAGTGCCTGGTGATTGACAGAGAGTGAGTATCCTGATATTTTAAGCATTGTTGGACATCATTCAGTTTTTGCCTTTTAAATGGTCATGCAGGTTAAAGTGTAACTATGTGTGAATGTTATAAATAAATTGACTATAAGTGGAATGTTATCGCACAATCAATTGTGATTATGAGGACAGAGACCCAACATTCTGGTGGCTCCAGCGTTGATGTGAGATTGCTTTTGTTTTTTGTTTTTTCATAGGACATTTGATCAGACAGTGGGTAACTTCAATGAGCTGCAGAAACACCTCCAAGGCTACGTGGCGACACTTGAGCGTGATGACAAGAAGAGGCATGCCAAGTAGGTGCCAAGAAGGATGCTCAGGGCAGAAGACAGATGTACAATAGTGAAACAGTTCAAATTTGAGGTTTTTGCCACTTATTAACAAGATTTAACAATTGCCTACCCTCCTGTCACTGTATGCATCCAGGAAGTCATTGTCTCGACACCAGAGTCAACCACTTTCTCCTGATTTCATCCAGCTGAAGGACATAGTGTCTGTGTTCCCTTCATCCAGACCTTTTGATCACCTTGATGTCATCGCTACTCTTGGGGTTGGCGGGTTTGGTCGTGTGGAGCTGGTAAGATGATGATGCTAATGATGCATCCGACACATTAACTGATTTTTAACATAATTTGAATGGGTTTATAAACAGGCTCGGTTTAAACTTTTATCCAATAACAGCTGTACATCTCCTATCATGAGAAGTGACAAAGTCTTTATAACATCCCACTTTGTTACATCCATCTGCAGGTCAAAGTGAAGGGTGAGGACGTCACATTTGCACTAAAAATCATCAAAAAGAAGCATGTTGTAGAGAACAAGCAGGAAGAGCACATCCATTCAGAGAGGAGGATCCTCGCAGAAGCCCGCTCGCCTTTCATTGTCAAGTGAATCTTCAAGACCAAATCCATTTTTCACCTTACATGATGAATCTCTGTCCATTAGTTCAGGGAAACAGTGCAGCAGTTATTAGGTTTTGATAAGATCATAATCAAGGCCCTGAGCAGATTACATCTCTTTGTGGGTTAAAATAGCAGAGGGATATCGAGATGTTCACTATGAAAAGGATGTTACTTTTTATTGAATATTTCAACCTCATCTTTTCTTTGTGAGATTATGACGATCCGATGTCAGCATGCAGCGGCACGGAATCAGATACCAAAGCCATTCATCTGAAAATAAATCCTACAGCTGGCCTAATCTGTCTGCACTGCATGTCTTTTTTTTATTTCTCATTTCTTTGTAAAACTGGAGATAATCTGAGCCTTAAGGCTGTGTGTTGGAGGGATTGACATCTACTCTACATTCACAAATGCTTTTGGATATGAATCTTAAATTTTCCATTGTCCTGAACTGCCATTTACAAATAACAACTGCAACAGAAGCGTACAAATAAATACATTCTTCAGTTTTACAAAATTTTTAATTAAGTAAATTACTCTTTGAATACTAAATCGAGCATGTTCATTCCCCTTTTTAAATCTTTGTTGCACATTACGTTGCGGGGAGGTTAATGCTAACTAAATTCATTGAAACTTCAAGTGAAATAATTAAGTGAACTGTCATTAAGAATTTACAGTCATTTTACAATTATGATTAAACAGGAAATAATCTAGACAGCAACACAGCCTGGTCACTGTTCTACATAGATGATATTCTAACTCAAAGTATGATTTTCAACCTTAAGCACACAGCGTTTTTTTTTTTTTTTTTTTTGCAGACTGTATCGCACTTTCAAGGATAACAAATATGTGTACATGCTGCTGGAGGCCTGCTTGGGTGGGGAGATCTGGAGTCTGCTCAGAGACAGGTGAGATAAGCAAAGCGACCTCTCTCAGCTTAATATCTGGGAAATAACATAACTTCCAAGTTTCCATGATGTAACTTGTAAAAAAGACTGAAAGGATCTGTTCACGTCTCAGCTTTTCCGTCCATCTGTTCTAAGTGAGAACATTTTTGTTTTTCTTTGTGTTCAGGGGGAACTTTGATGAACCTACGGCAAAATTCTGTGTTGGTTGTGTGACAGAGGCTTTTGAGTACCTTCATCGCAAAGGTGTCCTCTACAGAGACCTGAAGCCTGAGAATCTCATGCTGGATACACAGGGATACATCAAACTGGTGAGTTTGCTGTTGGCTAAATCCTTTTTTCATTAGGATCAAATATTAGAGCTAGTAGAAAGGAAAAGATCATGCATTGTGTTGAACCAAGCAAAAATAGAGTTGCACAAACTCAGTGTAGGTTGTGCAAAAACGCCTTTCCTCAGCACAAACTTAACTCTCATAGGCAATCTTTCTGTTTTTTCTTTACGTAGCCTTAAAAAAATTCTCCAAGCTTACTTGAAGGACATCACAATATTCATTGATGTTACTGCCTTTCATTCCATCCTCAGTCAGATGATCTCACACTGCTTCAATAATGTTGAGTGCAATAGTGTTCCCTGGGGAGAATTCCTCCCTTCATCAGACCTGTTGCAACTGATTTTCAGTCCACTTCTTGAATCAGTGGCATAGCTCAGCCTTTTCTCCCTGTGTTCCTTCCTTTGGAGTGGCTTCTTGACAGGCGCTTTCCTTGTTTATGTTTCTGATAGGTTTTTTTTCTTTTTTACTCAACCTGGGTTTGGATGCATGTCTTTTTTCTTGGATGCTTTTAAGGTTGTTGAGTTTTTACTAGAATTATTCAGTCTTATGGCTCTCTTGCATTTTCAGTAGAGTTCTACCCCTAAATCCAATGGGACAGGTGATGCCAAACAGTTATTCCATTTATTTAAGCACAAAGATTTACCTTCCAATATTTATCATTGACAATGTAATGAGTATCCCTTATTGAATCTATCTTGACAAACCCCTTTCAGACTTCAATTATTGGCCACACAAATGTTGTGAACTGCGTAGCTTACAGAAGGGAGCTAGTCATAATACATAGCTGCTTATAGGTACATGCAAATAAAGAGAAAAAAACAAAACAACACAAGGTGAGAATGAGATATGAAATTGGCCGAAAGTTTCATCCAGTGCTGCATAAAAAATAGCATTGTTCCTCTATTTTGACTGGAAGACCCTCCCGGTTTCAGGGTAGGAATTTCATTAAAAGCAGTTCTGATAGAAAGTGGCAAGATGAGGAATCTTAAGGGTGGAGCTCACAGATTGAAAGAAAGAGTTTGTTAAAAACCAACTGTAGCTAAAGTTCATATCTGAACGTTTGGAGGTTGTTTTAAATCACAAAGAAAAGCATCTAACCGGAGAAATTTGTTTTGAAACAACAGTTTTTTGTGATCTGAGTGATTTTCCTGGTCTGAGTGCTCAGAATGGGACACACCTCCAAGGACTTAATTTGCCTTATTGACATTGTACCTTACATCTTTAACGAAGTTTAGAAGAAAATGGAACTGAAACCATTCAGGAGAAAAGCATGAATAATTCCAATGACAAATATGAAAGAATGATGAAGTAGATTATCTGATGATTAAAGTAAAAAAGATTGGTAAACCTTAGCTTTAAGGTTTGTTGAAACTTTTGTTTCTCAGAGAGAGTGTGAGACATTTAATTAGTATATTATTGTTAGACTATTCTGCGGTTGTTGTTTATGATGGTTAGCCTGCTGGCAACTGAGCATGACTATGAAAAAGAAAGGCAACAAAAGCTGATTTAACGGTTTCATTACCTGTGATATGTGTGCTTTTTGATATTGCAGGATGTCAGTTTCATCAAAACTTGTATAGTTGATCGACAGATACATTTATATTAAACTGTAAGTCTATATACCAAACAGAGAGGTCCATTAATACATATGTCTAAAAAAAACAGTAGTAACTCTGAATAATTGTTAGTGTCCACAGTACAATGGATTCAACTTGTTGGAATTCAAACTAAAAAATAATCTCTTTAAGAAATGCAGGGTAAAAAAAAAAAAAAAACACACACAAAGAGATTGTCAAAAGAAAGTAACAACTAAAAATCACTGTGGATGAAACACAGATACACAGTAACAACATAAGATATTTGTAGCTAACGGGACAGGAGAAATTAGAACGGAAAATCACTGGAGAGCAAGAGAACGGAAAAATATCCCAAAAACGCTGTGATGCAGGCAGCTGGAAAAATTCTCCAAAAGAGAGACAGCAATCCGGACAAAATGCAACTAATGACCAAAGTGCTTGTAAAAGCACTCCGACAAAATGAGACAGAATGATCTGGAAGTGGAAAAGTGAACACTAAATACAGCATGGGAAATAGACTTCAGGTGTACGCCAACAAGGCCACAACTCCCCAGACACCTTCAGCTGCAAACAAACCAAAATAAAGACAGTAATAAAAAGTTAAAGACAACTTTTCAAACAAAATTATTTTTAAATGAAACAATTTTTAGAAATTAATTGTTATTTCCAGGTTGACTTTGGTTTTGCCAAGAAGATCAGATGTGGCCAGAAGACGTGGACCTTTTGTGGCACACCAGAGTACGTAGCCCCAGAGATCATTCTCAACAAAGGCCACAACTTCAGTGTAGACTTCTGGTCTTTGGGGATCCTGGTGTTTGAGCTTCTCACTGGCAGGTAATTGCATGTGGTTATCTGATTACAGTATGTAGCCAGACTCCACTGGGTTAATTGCCTTGTAATCATCAGTTTTTTATCATGTCAATCTTGCAGCTGATTTGCTGTAATTGTTGTGTACAGCTGACAAAGGTAGAAAAAACCTCACAAAGGTAGAAAAAGGTAGAAAAAAACAAATCATCTGCCTGTCTTCTGTTAACCTCACAGTCCACCATTCTCAGGAAGTGACCAGATGATGACATACACTTTCATATTGAAAGGCATAGAGAAGATGGACTTCCCAAAGAAAGTTGCCAAGAGACCCGAGGACCTCATACGCAAGCTGTGCAGGTATATCACTATAAGAAAATAGAAAAGGAAATCCTCAAATTACACATCCTCAGTACCTCAGGGCTTGATGTGGTGAATGGCTCGACAAAATGTGGGTTAAAACTTCAAAGGTTTACTAAAATTGGATCATTCTACATATGCCAATGATGTTCATGAACTGAACATTTAAAGAATAAAGTATCTAATCTTTAAATTTTCAGGCGGAACCCATCAGAGCGACTGGGCAACCTCAAAAATGGAATAACTGACATTAAGAAGCACAGGTAAAATGGAACAGGCTAATTTGTTTGCTGATTTCAGTGGGAAGATTAGAAGTACAAACTGGTGCTGAGTGAACATTATGGATTTGGGCCCACAGTTTGTGTCCTCTGCAATTAGATAATTGCTGACAATGTTTTACAAGACAAGGGGATATAAAACAAAATCACCAAGATTAATCTAATTTGATGTACTGCAGTCTTATTTGGGATTATTTTCTATTATTAAATCAACATGAAAGGCATCAGGAAGTCACACAGCACAATCATAAATTACAGCATTTTGATGGAAATGATTTTGAAATAATATCCGGACATGACTAATGTGGCTATTTTCAGGCAAAGCACACACCCGGGAGTACAGGCTCACATTAAATTGAGAGACTTCTCGTGCATCGGAGATATTGGGTGGTTTGTGATGTGTTGGTTTTGAAATAGATTAAAAAGATTTCTCATTTCCTTTTTCTACATCTCTGAAGGTGGTTTAGTGGCTTCAACTGGGAGGGGCTGAAGGTGAGGACACTACCATCTCCACTTAAACGAGAAGTAAGTACAAACGTCACAGAAACACACAGACTGACATTAAAAATCTTAAGGGACAAAACATTACAAGAAAATATTTTATATATGTAATTCGTTGAATCTTTTCTGTTGAACTTAACCTACTTTACAATAGCAAGTAGTCATGTCTTGACTACCAAAACTGCTAATATTATATTAGGTGCTCCAGTTGTTTTGCACTTATGTGACAGTCTTAAGGGTTTAGTATGTATGCAAAGAAATTCAGTTCTCATTCCTCTTTGTCTGTCCCTCCACACCAGCTCACGGGGCCCACAGATCACAGTTACTTTGACTGCTACCCTCCAGATGAGGACAGTCCTCCTGATGAGCTGTCTGGTTGGGATATGGACTTCTGATTACCTTTTTCACCATCTATCTGTTGTTTGCCACTTTTCTTTTACACCGATATCTAAAAGCTCACTTGCATTGTGGATGTTCAGGTGATCCTTAATGACTACTTGACATGGCTGAGGCCAAGATTGGCTTACCGTATAGTCAGTTCTCACAGTTTATGGAAGAATTTTTCTTTCAGTTTAGATATAAAGTTATTCAGCAAGTAACATCAGCACCACTGCCCCTCTGATAGATAAATCTCACCAGCTCCGTAGATAGTCAGATCACTTGAATCATTGCTCCATTTTTAAGACCCATTTAATCCTATTTACACCTGTGGAAAGTTCAGTTCTCTCCCAGCTGTCTTTGAGGCAGAGGCAGGTGGTTCATCCAGGAGCGATCACTCATCCATCCAATCTGCATAACAAGGAAGCCCATTTTTTTGTTGCATTACATATTTGTTAAGCAAAGTGTTAAAACCATCAGGTGACTTTTGTCTTACATTGCAACATAAAACTGAGTCTAAAGACACATTTCTATAACAGGTTATCAAGGTGAGCATTTAACCAGAACAAAACCGAAAACAATTCCCGTCACCCCTGAATAATAAAAAAAACTAAAACAAACCAGAAATCACCCTTCATCCACCGAAGGAGCAACAATCTCCACAAGCTATTACAAGTTCACACACCAACACCATTAGCTGGCCCATGGGCCCTGAGTGCCATCTCCCTCATTTTTGGCATGGCAGCTCAGGAGAGAAAGACACATTACACAAACAAGACACACAACATATGTCTCTTGGTCATAACAAGGACTCAAAGTTTTCAGGTATGGAGGTATATGTTTGTTTTTTTCTATATTTTGAATATACATCCTATAACATTTAGATTCTTGAAAGAGCAATCCAAGCCAGTCACGTGGAAATTAAAGCTTGTTTACTCTGCTGGGCATGTCCACTCTGTGTCATTGTGCTGTAGCTGTTTTGCAGTGGGAGGTCATGGTGCTCTTCTTGCTTTAAATAAGTCCAATGCAAAAATTTAGTGCCTTTAACAATTCACGCAGTAATAAAAGTAACTGGAAAAAAAAACAAGAAAAAAAACAGTACTTTGAACTGTAAATGTGCTTTGAGCTTCTTTCCTTCTTTCTCACATAAGAGGCAACACACTATTCAGACAACCTGTAAAATTAGACATAGACATAGACATAGACAACTTTACTGTCATTTTGTGTGTACGGAGTGCACACAAAACGAAATTTCATTTGCATACAGCTTTAGACAAGAACAGGATTAAATAATTTAGAAGTCTAATGGCAACAGGGAAAAAGCTGTTGTATAGCCTTGTGGACCTGCAGCGGATGCTGCGGAACCTCTTCCCAGAGGGCAACAGGGAGAACACATCATGGTGGGGGTGTGAGGGGTCTGTGATGATTTTACGGGCTCTGGACACGCAGCGCTGGGGTGAGATGTCCTCAATGGAGGAAAGAGGAGCCCCGATGATCTTCTCTGCTGTCCTCACCACCCTCCTCACGTTCTTCCAGTCGGAGGCGCTGCAGCCTCCACACCACACAGAGAGACAGCTGGTCAAAATGCTCTCTATGGTGCATTGGTAGAAGGTCGTGAGGATGGGCGGGGGCAGGTGGGCTCTTCTCATCCTTCTCAGGAAGTACAAGCGCTTCTGTGCCCTCTTCACCAGGGATGTGGTGTTCACAGACCAGGTGAGGTTGTCTGTGATGTGCACCCCCAGGAATTTGGTGCTGCTGACCACCTCCACAGCTGAGCTGTTGATGAACAGTGGAGCATGACGAAGCCGGTACTTCCTGAAGTCAACGGTGATCTCTTTCGTCTTCTCCACGTTCAGTATCAGGCTGTTGTTTCTGCACCAGCCCACCAGCTGCTCCACCTCCTCTCTGTAGTCCCGGTCGTTGTCGTCTTTGATCAGGCCCACCACCGTTGTGTCGTCTGCAAACTTCACGATGTGATTGGTGGTGAACCTGGGGGCGCAGTCATGTGTCATCAGAGTGAACAGCAGGGGGCTCAGGACGCAGCCCTGAGGGGAGCCCGTGCTGAGGGTGATGACATCAGATGTTTTTTGTCCGACCCGGACTGACTGAGGTCTGTTGGTGAGGAAGTCTAGTAGCCAGTTGCGAAGAGGTGTGCTAAAGCCTAGGTGTACCAGTTTTTCCACCAGATGCTGTGGGATGATGGTGTTGAACGCTGAACTGAAGTCCAGGAACAGCATCCGCACGTGGGTGTTCTTTTCCTCCAAGTGTATCAGGCTCAGGTGAAGAGCGGAGGAGATGGTGTCCTCAGTGGAGCGGTTTCGCCGGTAGGCAAACTGGAATGGGTCAAATGTTGGGGGGAGACTGGAAAGGATGTGATCTTTCACGAGCCTTTCAAAGCACTTCATGATGATGGGAGTCAGTGCAACGGGCCGGTAGTCATTGAAACATGTGACTTGAGGTTTCTTTGGCAGTGGAATGATGGAGGCAGACTTAAAGCATGCTGGCACTGTGGCCTGGTCAAGCGAGGTGTTAAAAATGTCTGTGAGGACACCAGCTAGCTGACCTGCACACTCCTTGAGCACCCGCCCAGGTATGTTGTCGGGACCTGGGGCCTTCCGCGGGTTGACTCTTCTCAGAGTTTTACACACGTCGGCTGTGTCAAGGCAGAGTGCCTCCTCTTCCTGATGGGGAACAGCCTTCATTGCTGGAGTGCTGTTTAGTGCCTCAAACCTCCCGAAGAAGTTATTTAGTCCATTGAGGAAGTCAGCATCAACTTCACCCACCGGGGGGGAGGGCGTGTTGTAATCTGTGATCGCCCGTATGCCTTGCCACATGCGTCTGGTGTTACTGGCGTCGTGGAAAAGATCCTGGATTTTTTTACTGTGGGTCCGCTTCGCTAACCTGATTGCACGGTTCAAGTTGGCTGTTCTCAGAGCCTCCTTGTCACCGGACTTGAAGGCTGAGTTCCGTGCTTTTAGCGCTTGGCGAACCTCCCCAGTCATCCAGGGTCGTTGGTTGGCTCGGGTGATGATGTTCTTTGTGGTGCTGACGTCCTCGATGCACTTGTTGATGTAGGCTGACACAGTCATGGCATACTCATCAATGTTTATCATGTTGTCACATGTTGCTGCAGCTTTGAACATGTCCCAGTCAGAGCACTCAAAACAGTCCTTAGATGCTTTATGTTTGCCATGTTTAAAAAAGCTTTTTTTTAATTGCATTTAGGTTTCACTGAGTAGAACTTTAATGTGAGTCAGGAACACAATGCTTCATTTTTGCCTGTGGGGAAGTACGTCTTGAATCAGATCAGTATCGTTTGTTATCATACTTTGTTTTTACATTCCGTAATCAACCCTTGTTACAGATTCCTGAAAAACATTGTTTTCAGATACTTTTCTTCAGCCTCTGGTGTTGGCTCCAGATGTCGCATGTGAGGAAATAAGTTGTGCAGCTGTAGAGTCATTTATTTCTTACTGCTGAGAAAATCAATTATTATATATACAGTTCTTCTTTTATTTTTCGGATGTAGGAGAATAGTTTATGTTTATGTTTATGCATTTGGCAGACGCTTTTATCCAAAGCGACTTACAGAGTAAACACTGTAGCGGCCCCTCGGATTTATTGATAAGACGCAGAGAGTTTCGAACGGGTGTCGGTTTATTTCGGTTTCCCTCAACGAGCACCATGCATTACACCTTGAACACCGTGAAAACTAGAGAAAAACAGAAGAAATACAAAATGCTTCTCTGTAGTTTCACAAATAACACGCATAAATCATGTTCAATCTTTTCATACCTCATTCCGCTCTCCAAGGGCGCTAATCAATGTAGCTTCCATCCGCTAGCATGCTCTTTAGCTAGTAGTTCTCACAGCTCGAAGCTCTTATGAATAAAAGGTACGAACAATACAAAAATAATAAATGAAATCACAATGCAAATATTAATTTACAGGATTCAAACAGATGAACACGATAAATATAATATACCTTTAAAGCTTTACCGTTTCTCTCATCATACGTGAGCGCGGTATCGTGACGACAGTGGCAGGAAGTTTAACGTTCAACGTTTAACGTCACAAAAAAAAAAACAGCAGAAGAAGAAGAAGACAGTGCTCTTCAAAATAAAAGCACCACAAACCAAAAAACACTGTAGAACCACAATGTCTTGTGAACACATAAATAACACTGTGAAAGAGAATATAAATGCCGTTTTATCAGACATATACACACACAATATTACATTTATCATCACTATGACACTATGATAGAGGGGGAGATATGTGCAGAGATTATGACACAAAATGTATCTTGAGAACTTCCAGTTTTCTGATTCGACAGCATGCAGCTCCAGCGCTCTCCTAACCAGAATAATTTTGTTTTAAGAAGTATCAAGAGTCCCTTGTTCCAGCAGTATTATCCTCACAGCCCTCTGACACATATAAAAACATGAACATCTCCTGCACTTGAATTATAAAGTGCAAGCATCTTGTGGCAAGGTACCTGAGCTGAGGAAATATTTATCTTTGTGAAGCTGAGTCAACTCTGCGGTTCTCAGCCTCTTAAGGAGAATTCTGCTCGGATTGAGGTGTTGATGATGTGACGAGGAACAGGAAAAAGATCAAACTGAGCAGGAAACCTCCAGGGTTAACCAGAGTGGGAGGTTTAAGAACCTAGGGTTTAAAATGATATACTGTATATCTATATATGTATTCCATATATATATATATTCCATTCTGTGTGAGCATGAGTGTGCAATGTGTAGAATAAAGCACAATTGTTCAGAATACACATTTTTACACAGTTTTTTTTAGAGTAAACTTTAAACTTTAAATCAGCAAATGGCTCTTGTAAATATCACATATACTGTACTGTGTATTGACTGGTGAATGAACTTGTCTGTCCAACATGTTCTGGACAGTGTGAATGGAAGCACCTGAAATTCCTGGAGAAACAGCTGCCTTAAGTTGTTACATAATTTCTGAATAATAAATGTTTTGTGAAACCATGTCTTGATTTCATATGACAAAAAAAAGAAAAAGTATGCACAAATTATTTAATCAAAATCTTTTAAGAATCGTTTTATCTCATCAGGGATATTTTGAACAAAATCTAAGGCTGTTGACATTCAAAATAATTGTACTTCTTAAGGTGCCTTTGTCAGATAGCCAAAAACTAATCCCATCTTTCAGCTTCACGCATTCCTCTCCCAATCCTAATCAGAGTCAGTTTTCTACCTGATAGGACTGCACCCGACAAGCCAAAGATTTGCTGTACATCAACCAATGTGGAGCCTGAAGTTTATTTGAAAATGTATTTAGTGAACCATCTTTCACAATTTAGAAACCAGTATGGTTTAAATGAAGGGAAACTACAGAAGTAAGGAACAAAGGAGAAAGTGGAAGATAAAAGTGATTTATTTTAAATACAGTAAGAAATCCAGCATAAACCTGACAAAAGACCTGAGAAATGCATACGGATCTGAAGTTGATCCATATTCTATTTGACGAATGCTCTCCAGAGCCCTGACCTCAACATAACTAAAATAAAAGACTATCATAACAGAAAATGGAACAACAAGGTAGACAATTTCATTAGAAGACATTCCTCAAGTAGCCTATTCCCTCTCAATGACATGGCAAGAGATATTGCCTAGGGTCCTTAGGGCTGCTGTGAAGAAAACATTTTAACTGATCTTCTTACCAAATACTGACTTCGATTAGGTAGATTAGATTAGAGTTGCACAAGGCACAAATATTTTACTTTTCTACGAAAAAGCTTTCACACCACAACAGCTTGACATCACAAGAGTAATCGTTGTCGGGTTGAAGACAAGGTTTGTATGTTTGAGTGAGCAACATCTTGTTCAGGTTGAGAATGGTAACCACTAATGCATGGAGTATGTCAATTTTTGATTAAAATAAAAATATTTCCTTTGGAATTGTTTATGAAATAATCAAGCCATTTTTTAACAGACTATAAAACAACATAAAATGTGTGTGTGTCCTCCACACAATACAGCTATGAATCACTGTATTGTAGTCATTAGCAAGTGATGGTAAAAAGATTACCTTTGTTGGGGAAAGCTGAGGGGTTTGCTATGATAGGAGTCAGTTTCTCCCTCTCATATAAAATGAAAGCACATCTGTCAAAGCTGGAGGAATTTTTCAATCCAATCAAGCCACATGAATTCATAACTAAAATAAATGTATTACAAAATGCAACAAAACAGACTCACCATCCGTCTTATTTTCAGATGCATCTCTGCTAAACTTTGTATAATCAAGATTTCTGTATTTAATGTAGAAACACTACATGCATATGTCTTGTTTAGTCGTCTTGTACATAGTGGAATTATATGAACTCCTAATGTGATATTTTGGAAATAGAAGCAATCAAAGTTGTACATTTAAAACAATCCTGTGTTTTATTATTAACTTATAGTTTTCTTCATTTGTGTGCTTGTTTTGAAAAAAAAAGTCTTATACAGAAATTAGTCTTGCATACTTAAAAAAAAAATTCTTTGGATGTTCAGGAAAGACAGTCGGAACTCAGAAGAGGGAGTCCTTTAATCAGTTCAACACACTTTCTTTCAGTAGTGACAAATGTCCATCACAGATACTGAGACCATTAACATTGCAGAGCTTAGCTCCTCCTTTCCCAGATCACACCTCTACAATATATGCTACATACAGAAAATAAATAGATGCACGTTAAAAGTTTTTTTCCATATACATATATATTTTATGAAGCTTATTGTACAAGCAATTATTTTTCTTTAACCTACAGCATTGCATTTACACAACAAGATGGGGCAGTCAGGTGAATAAATTGTAAAAATATAAATGTACTGCCACATGTGTCAAAAGTTCAGACCTTCGTTGAGTCTCAAATGTAAAAAAAGGCCATTCCTGTCAGCAGTTATTAGGTCTGCCAAACAGAAAATACAACACTGTGGTGTAGGATGCACAATTAAAAAACATGTCAGTACAAAGTATATAAATCTAAACTATCTGCCCATAGCTATAGACACTAAATAAATGTCTTTGGAATATCAAAATAGTGAATTATTAGAAATACATTTCTGAATAATTCCCTTTTATTTCTCAAAGAATGTGCACCATAGTCACGTTGCAGACTTTTACGTTGTACCATGGAAAAAATATTCTCAGCTGCTTTCATTCAGTCATCTGAATGGCTGACCTCCTCTGAAGGGCCACAAATCAAATCGAAAGCAGAAATCCTCTTATTTCAAAGAGACCGTAGAATGTTTTGAACAGAGAGCAATATACAAAACAGTGTACAAGTGTGTGGAAAAGTCTATCTGCTTTGAATAAAAATGTGTCTAATAGAGTATTACAATAATGCACAACTCATGATGATATTACAACATTTTAACTGCACCTCCATGTGTGCCTGTTTCACCCTGCTGTTAACGGTATACATGAACACTTTGCACACCTTGTTAGCATGAAGAATCCTGTGAAAACCAACCGCAAATTAAGGAAGTTGCTGGTCCTCCCAAAAAGACTGAGACACTGAAATGGCCATTTGCAAACAAACAATTAAATTCATGATGGCTATGTCCTCTTCTCAAATACTGTAGTTTCTTTATATATTTTTAACTAAACCTTGCAACTAGATTAAATTAAAAATAAAATAAGTGATGAGAGCTGTTCCCTGACCAGTAAAATGTAATAATTTTCCACCAACTGAAGCGATTAATTATGGGATTCTGTAAACTTTCCTTTCTTAAAACAAATGACAAATGAAAACAAATAACAAAACAAACAAATAGATACGGGGTAATGGCTCTCGGTGGGAATCATCAAGCGTCTCTAACAAACAGATTATAAAGATCGCTCACTTTCAACAAAAAACAGCTTACATGCACAGAATGGAGAAAAGTACTGGGCTGTTACAGGGACATTTAATTCCAAAGATTTTCCGAATGGTAGGCTGGATAAAAATATCTTGTAAGCGATGCAATAGTGAATTTTCTTATCATCGTTGTACTTCCAGTCTGAAATACGTTTTAAATTCAAACCATGCTTTATTGCCCTAGCATAGGTAAATAACTTTTGGTTTGTATTTGATTAGAAATAATATGATTGTGATTGTGAGAATACTGCAGTAAAAAGTACTTTATTTGAAATAAATGAACATGTAACATAACATTTTATTGGGCTTTTCCAATAAAACGGTGAATAAAACAGTATATATATATATGTATATGTACATACAAGTAACCGGCCACATGCATCAAGCTCTTTT